TTGAATGTTAGACTAAACATTATTTTCTATTATGTAAATTTTTAGATACTAGAGTAAGAGGTGAATATATTTTATATTTATACTTGTACCAAGGAAAGTCAGAAGCTACTTTTCTTTTTCTATGCCTTTTCTTTATTGATTTTTTCTCTTTCTTTCTTTCTTTCTTTCTTTTTTCTTTTCTTTTCTTTTCTTTTTTTTTGACCTTGTATTTTAACCTTTTGGAAATTTAATAAAATTTATTTAAAAAAACAAAACTACAAAACAGTTATGTCATTAAAATTACAACTGAATCATCTGATAGTGTGGAATAAGTGATATCTTTTTGAGAAGATAATTCTAACAGTAAGTGAACGCAGATGAAAAATAGGGATATCTGTCTGTCTGTCTGTCTGTCTGTCTGTCCATCCATCCATCTATATTTGTAGGCTGTCCACTCAGAATAACTCTGGGTGACATACAGATTAGAAGCATAAAAATCAGTACAACAATCAAAACCATAAAAAGGAAAAGATAGCCATACAGTCAGGTCTTTAAGACTTGTGTAAAAGAGAAGAGGGTCAGGGCTATTTGGATCTCTGAGACAATGCTGTTCCAGTGAGCAGGTGTCATGACAGAGAAGGCATGCCTCCTATGTACCTTCAGATGACATCACTTAATAGATGGGACCTGAAGCATGCTGACACTGTCATATCTTACAGGATGGGCAGATACCATAGGAGAAAGACGGTCCCATACATGACAAGGCCCCATCCCATAAAGTGTTTTATAGGTGAAAACCAACACCTTGAATTGCACCTGGAAACCTACTGATAACCACCACAGATCTGGTAGTAGTGTCACATGGGCATAGCATGGCATGGCCATAACTGCTTATGCCACTGCATTCTGGAGCAGCTGAAACTTCCAAGTATTCTTCAAGAGCAGCCCTCTGTACAGTGCCCTGCAGTAGTCCAGTCAAGAAATCACTAAAGCATGAGACACTGTAAGGCCCCCCAATCCAGAAATAAGTGCAATTGTTGCACAAGAAGGATTTATGCAAAGGCCTCTGGGCTGCAGCTGCCATCTGTTCCTCAAGTAGGAACTGTGAGGTTTTTAATGAACCAAGATATAAATGGTTAAAAATAAAACTCAAGCCTGTTCACAGCAGAGTTGATTTTAAATTGTAAATAAAGGCAGCATACTGTGATATTCTTGTATTTTGTTTTTCTTTTTAAGAAAAGATAGATCTTTTTCTATCTTGTAACAATCAGAAATAAAAAACTTCAGGACAATAATCACAATAGTCTGATCATGGAGTACGGGAGAACTGCTTTCCTGCAACATGCCTAAACAATATTATGCCTAAGAGTTAAAATTGTATTATATATATATTGGCAACATTCAAATTCTAAGTTTTAATCTATCTGGTTTTATATTTTTATTCTGTATTTAATTTTATTTTTCCATCCATGTACACTGTTCAACAGTAATATCTTGTATGTTTTTTTTTCTGCATTAAAAATAGCATATAAAGCAAATAAATGATAATGCATATTATGCAATGTGGAAATTCATAATATTTTGAAAAAAAAGATGGAATAATAAATAGAAAAGAATTCCACATGTAGAAAGATATGTAATGTTAAAGAGTGTTAAATGAAATATGGTTTCAGGAAAGAACTGGCATGCAAGAGGATGATGTGAGAGCCCACAGCATGTTTTGCATTTACTAAATCATATTTTGGAAGATGATCTTAAAGTTATTTTGTTTCAGCATTTAAAAAAAGTACTGCTATCACTTGAAAAAGTGGCCTGAAGTGACCCACTGCAGAAATGGAAGCTGAAGCTAACATATCTTGATGCACTCAGATCAAAATAAGAAACTATAATCACCCATCAGAATAGTTAGTCTTAAAGGGGTAGTAAATTAAGGGTTATCCAAGTTTCATGGGAGGACTACAAATATTCTAAATAGCACTGGATCAGTTAGCAAGTCCTCACTGGCAGAAGATGCCTTAGAATACACACATAAAATACAGAGAAAGAATGCTAATGTGAAACAACTTGGCCTAATTTCAGATTCATCTGCTGTCCTCTGCTAAGTAAAGAATATGCCATGGAAGTGAAATGCAAGAGAGGTATTTGGATTTTAATAAAGTCTCTAAAGAGTTAGCACCACTAAAATTGATTGTTTTAATCAAAGGGTGAATAACGAATAACAGCAAAGCAATGAGTTAAACAGAAGATGATGTAGTAAAAGATTGGGGGAAATAAGAGCCACATGGAAAGTTATAAATTCCCAAGTAAATAAAGTTCAGTTGTCAAAAATTCACTATAAATCAGCCTTGTGCCCTATTTAACACATTATTTTCATTTATAACCTATATATAGATTGGGAGGAAGAGTGCACTAAGGAAATCAGGTTGTGGCAAAGACTGAAGGCTTAGATCACATACACTGAGATCCATTATATATCATGTTAGGATGTAAAATTAATATAAGGAAATATGAAGTTATACAAGATGAAGCAGGTGTTCTTAGAAACTAACAACTGAAGTGAATTTAAGTGATAAAGAGTGACATTTGTTACCAGATGGAAATGGAAGGGGAGGAAAAGTCTGGAATTTTAGTTCATGTCACATACCATACATTAATCATTGAGCTTATTTAGGCAGTATATGTATCTTGATTTGGTATCAAATTTCAACAGAAACAGATGCAAACTGGAACAACTAAACTGACTGAAGAATAGACACCCCATTTTTTAAGAGCAGATTTTAATATTGCTTCAACTGGTTTGTTAGGAAAAAAAAGTATATGGGGTATTAGCACACATCAGATATATCTGATGGATACCATAAAAGAACCATAGACTGGAAGAGAATTTTTAATTGAAGAGTCCTCATGCATATGCAAGTATATTTATAAATTACCCATTAAGTATATTTTGATGCAATCAGGTTCTTGTCAGTATATAAAGTACTTGTATGAGTTAGAAATTCTCAAATTTCCAAGAGCTGGATACATATGGCTTATATTGTATAACTTTATAGTCATATCCTGATCTATTGATCAACTACATCTATATCCATAGAGATTTTTTTCTTCCCATCTCAAATTGTCTAGAAACTTAGGAAATGTTACATTTCCATTTAAACCTGCATGTGTATTCAATTGCAGGAAAACTTCTGCAGAACTTGAAACAAATAGTTTCATAAGATCCAAGCGGCATAAGAGACAAGTGGATCACCAACTAAATTTGATAATGCTTTCTGGTCCCTTTTTCAACAGGTGGTCCAACAAAACATTGCTCCCATTACTTCCATACTTTTTCTATCCATGTTGCATTATATTGGTATCTTATGCAACAAGAAATTATCCATAATTTCTTAACACCCCACACAATTTTTATTAACACCTTAATTTCCTTGCCAAAATAATTTAGCCTCAAGAAGCCATATGCTAATGACTAGGATTGGTGTGCAGATTCTAAAATCAAAATAAAGCACTAAAATATTTAAACTGAGCACAAATCACTGAATGAAATCTGTGATTATTAAGCAACATCACTTCTGCAAAATTCAGCCTTTTCTTCTTTATGATCCAAATCTTACTGGCGATATCAAAGGCAAGCAAATTTTTCCCCCTAGAATTCCCCCACAAAGGGTGAATAATGGAAAGCACTTATCAACTGCATCAAACAAAAGACTAAGTAAACAGGTGTGTTTAAAGGGTGCACATGAATTTTTAAAATGTCGAATAGACTATATATTACAAGCTTTTTGAACAAAAAAATGACTCATCTTTGTAAATGATGAAAATTAATTTTATTCTTTGATTAGACTTGCATAGTGATTGAGAGATTTATAAATAAAAATCTATCTTCAAAGGAAAATTCAGAACAAAGGCTCTGGGATTTTCTCTATTTCAGACTTCACGGATTTTCCTGCAAATCCAAGCAGTCACCCCACATTACATGGCATATTTTTAATAAGATCTGTAAGAGAGGTCTTTGCATTCATAAAATATCACTTTTCAAACTGAAATGTTGGTCAAAGAAGGACCAAAATTATATTTTCTATCCACTAAATGATTTTTGTAGAGTCACTAAAAGAATCTACATGAAATGGATTTGGCACATGCTTTCTTACACCAGGCAAAGCTTAATTTGTCATTTGTTGGATAACTGTTTTCTTCTCACCAGAAGATGTTGGGTCTTTGCAGATCAAAAGTGGAAGAATGCTGCTTCGGAGATAGATGCTCCTGTGGATGAAGAGGATAATTCGGATGTACAGTAGCTGTCTGAATGGACGGCGCTCAATTTAAAATGTTATTGTTCTGTTGGAGACCTATATGATCTGATGCCGTCATTTTTCAAAATTGAAGACTAACACAAGATTGACAGAAGATGAACATTGTTTTGAAGAGACTGTGTTTTTTTATGTATTTGCAATGTTAAAGTATGTCACTTAGCAATCTTATTCTGATGCTCTGTCTTTAATAAGAAATGACAACAGTTGCTAGTGTAGTAAGATTTTTATTTTGTTCAGCCAATCTACTATGCGGTATTTCATGTCTGGTGTTCCATAATATGTTTCAGTTATGCATAGTGCCCAACTCAAGAGACAGAAAATCCTATCCTGTGCCAGTCATTTACTTATGCTAATTATATTTTAGAATTTGGAGGATTATTAACAGTGATGCTTTTCAGTGCAAAACCATTTCAGTAAAAAGAATTGTAGGAAAACAAGCTGTTATCCCTATTTTATTTGCTGAATAATCAAGGCTGACATTTGTTTTTCTTTAGAAAACTTTATCCCATTAGCTTTGGAGTTGTTTTGTTTAGTCCTATAAAAGAATATGGGTCATGCCAAGGTTTTTCAAAATATACTAAGTGTTCAAGGTAATGATAGGAAACTTTAGCAAGTGGCATGAAAATAAATATTTACATTTTCTAATATGAATTAACGTGAAACTTCAGATATATAATGAAAGAATTGGTCACATTTAGAAATTTAATCAGAAAGCTTCAAGCATTCTTCCCCAATATCTTTCACAAATGAAAACACAGAAACCAAAAGTATCAATATGATACCACTCACCAACACATTTTTCAGCTAGTTCTCCTAAAAAATGATTGGACAATTTTGGATTCCAGTCCCTGGTATGAATTTGTAAAATGTGCTTTCTTGCCTAATAGAAAAATAAAGAGATTTTAAGAACTTCATCACAATAAGATATATCAAATACATCAGTCATACAAATTAGTTCATCAACTACTGTTTAATATATCCCCAAAATCATTTAGTACAGAAAAGTTACTGAACTAAAAGTGTCACAATAAAGGATTGCTATTGAAATGCCTAGGGTAGAAATATCAACAGATATCAAAATTGACCCTAATATATTATCATTCTAAAAGCAGATAAAGTATTTAATAATTTACTATTCCAGACAAATATTATAAATATAGCATTAAGCCAATCTAGTAAAATATAATTATAATTGTTCAAAGGAAGATTTCAATAAACATATGCTAATATAAAAACTGATGTTGCGACCTATGCAGCAATACTTCAGTTGGAGAACAGTATGTTCATAATCAATGAGCTTCTAGCTTAGTTCTTTCTACTAAGTTCCAAGCTCATAGTGGAATGAAGTGAATTTTATCTAGTTCCAGGCAAAAGCTGACATTTCCACTGGGAATACTAAAGGGTACTGTATCTTGAATTTGGATTGATATGATTTAACTACAGCAATTTTCCACATATAATAAGTATTATCTGAAACTATGAAGTTCTCATCATTTCAAAAATTAGCCTGTAGTATGAAAGCACAAGAAAATATAAATATCTCTTGAAAAGACACGCAAACATAGTCTTTTATATTCCTACCTTTTGATCAGGCAAGCTAAAAAGAAATTCCCTGTCAAAGCGACCTGGTCTCCTGAGTGCTGGATCTATAGAATCAAGTCTGTTTGTAGCACCAATGACAACTATTTCACCTCTGTTGTCCAATCCATCCATGAGTGCAAGCAATGTAGACACTATAGAGCTAAAACATATTTCAACATAATTTTAAGGAAAAACATTTAATAGATGCATACAGCAATTCAAACTTATCTTTAAACAATCTTGAAGTGACAAGCACATATTGCTAAAACTTAATTAATCCTGAATTCTACCTATTTAGATACTGAATAGTATAGTAAATATTGATTCTAGTTTGTGCCCCACCTTTCTATTTCCAGGGCACTTAAGTTACTTAATAAAAATATAAAACAATTAAAACCTAATTTTAGACATTCCTAAATAATACCTAAAATCATTAATCAACTTGAAAACCCTGACCAAAGTGAAGGTTTTCACTTCTTTCTTAAACATGGAAACTGTGGGAACTAAACACAACTCTTAATGAAGTGTATTTTTTAGCTTGGGGGTGATGCAGGAGTTGGATCCCTTCTGTATGCCAAATAAATAGAACTCTGAAATCAGGGTACATCTTTTGGAGGACTCCTCTTGTCAATATTAGTGCCTGGGCACATTGAGATAGGTGGCTCTTGTTTAAGGATTTAAAAGTTAAAACCCATATTTTGAATTCAACCTGAAAAACAATCTGCAAATAGATTCACAACATGAGTTTCATGCACTCAGTGTCAAAGAGCAGCTAGCAAATGTTGCACTGTGTAAGACAACAACGAAGTCTTTCATCCTCAGATGCCATCTTCTGATGCCAACATCACCCTCAAATGTCAGGAGATGCCAACTTCACTCTAACAAACTATAAAATCTAGAATAAGCTCCACTACATAGTACAGAGTTTCAGATACTAGCTGAGAGTCAGTTGCCATCCTGATCCACTGAATAACCTTAGTCTGAACATTAAAATTATCTAGGACAGTAAGTCTAGGACAGAGCTAAGAGAGAAAAGCTTCCCTTTCTCTCAGTTGTTTTTCTCAATATTTTCATCTAGAGTTAACCTGGATAACATACATGTTCTAATTGTGATGATATTAAAAAGCTAGAACACCATCTTTGTTATCATTATGATTTTTGTTAGACAATAATCTGAAAGGAGAGGAGAAAGCCTACAAGAGGCCTATCCTTCTTTCTTTGAAATAGCCAGTTTGAAGTCTCTCAGTTTATCTCCAAGCAGGTAATTGCTTCAATGTTCATTCTCATCCATGTCCTTTCTCTCTCAGATACCTTCAACAAGGACCCAGTAAACTAGCCCTATATAAACTCTGCATAAGTGAAAAGGATTCTCTTTTTGTATGCCAAGAGCCCACTAAGTGACATTCAGCCTCTAAGAAAGGTTAAATGTTATAGTCACTGGACCAATGGAACAAGGAAGACAAAAAGTACTGAGTTAGACTGAGAGGTACAAGCATTTGACAAACTAGATCTCTAGTTCCTTATTCAAATGCCTTTCAAATGGACCTAAGACAAGGCCCTAGGCAAGCAAGTGACAAACCTTGACTCACACAAATCTCTTCCTGAACAAAGAATGGATTTTGTATATGGGATGCTATTACCTGTGACAATTTCATCTCCAAAAGGAATGACTGTTCTAAAAAAATTAATTTTCACAGCTGTTTTCCATATTTAAATACAGCAAATATGTTCAAAGAAGGAATATAACATTCTATCTTTCACTGGCTGTTAGCCTTCTTCCCACCTGAAATTTTTAGATAAACAAATAAGTTCATCTAGTAATTAAATCTCATAAATAAGAGACAAATAAAAGAGTTCCTTTTATTTCCATAGCTAAAAAGCATGAGTTACTTTCTGCCAAGTATCTCAACCACAATGCACACTCCAGTAATATCAGTGTCACTCCTTATTCCAAATAAGATCCCATTGAGGTTCAGTTCTTTCTCTCCCTCTCTTTTCCCCCTCCCCAGTGTGTGTGTGTGTGTGTGTGTGTGTCTGTAATAAACACACACACACTGACTACATGCTATCAAGTTGATGGCAACTCATAGTGACTACATAGACACACACACATATACTTTCACACACCAAAAGTTAAAATGAATTTTATCTTATGAAAACTAAAGAGGATAAAAGGTTGAAAAACGTCCACTTCTTTATGGATCCAATCCTATGTACTCAGAATACACTAGCCTCACCTGTGAATTTGGTCTTGTCTACTGGAACGGACTGGGGCCAAGCCATCTATTTCATCAAAAAAGATTATGGATGGCCTCATCAGGTATGCCTGGGGTAAGCAGCAAACAGAATTAATTATAAATATGAAAATACTTTTCACACTTTTATAAGCTAAGACAAAAATTATCTTTAATTACTATATTAAATCTGAAACACTAAAGTCCTAGAGTTCACTCAGAATTATATAGCCAAAAAAATATATTAACTCTGCCCTATCTACATATTGCAGATTACCTTCCACAGTGAATAGTTTTTTTTAATATAAGAACTTTATTAAGTCATAAAAAGCATAAAGATAAAAGCAAACTAGAACTAATAATCAAGGAGAAAAGTAGGGAACAAGAGAGTTAGAAATAAAGAAAGAATATAAAAGTGATAGAAAGTAAAGGAAAGAAAAAATTACAAAAAGAGTAACTTCCGGCTTCTTATACAGCAGGTATAGATAAATCATAGAATAAACTCTTACTCTAAAACTACATCTTAACATGCATATTTGTATAACTTATTAATTTAACTAAACATCAAATCAATATATCATAATTTCATTTTTTTCTGTCTCCAGCAAAAAGTCCAAAAGAGGCTTCCAACTGGCATTAAAGTTAGTGTTTTTTCTCTAAGCAAAGCTGTCAATTTTGTCATCTCAGCTAATACCATCAACTTCACCATTCATTCTTCCATTATAGGTAATATTGAGTCTTTCCACCTTTGAGTGTATAAAAATCTAGCTGTAGTTACCATATATAAAAACAAAGGTCAGTGAGCTTTTTCCAATTGTTTATACATCAGTCCCAAAAGGAAAATCTCTGGTTTTGACTGTATATTAACCTTCAATATCTTCCGAATTAATATATGAATTTGGGTCCAAAATTTTTTAGCTTTATTACATGTCCACCAAAGATGATAAAAAGTCCCTTCTTGTTGTTTCCAACATATATTTGAAACCCCTTTGTACATTTTTGATAATCTTTCTGGTGACAAATACCATCTATACATCGTTTTATGGAAACTCTCCTTCAAATTGTAACACAGTGTAAATTTTAACCCTTTAATCGACATATTTTCCCATTGTTCCATTTGTATATTATATCCAAAAGTTTTAGCCCAGTGAATAGGTAGATGCAGAAACCTGGTAGCCTCCACATGAGGGTTGTGGGTGGGGGGAGGTAGTATGCTTATCTCTGCAGCCCCATATCAAATGTGAGAAAAAACTTTAAAAGCTCTGATAAAAAGTTGGGTCATCTTTGTAGAAACTTATTGAAAAATATTTCTGCATTTGAAAGCAGTTGATCTTTTGAATTTTCTGAGAAGATTAAAATTTCCTTTGAACTGAGCTCAACTTCTACCAATAACCTAAAATCCATGGAGCTTTCTTGGCAACAGTACTGAAGGGGTTTGTCATTTTCTACTTCCAGGATATTTGACAGTCTAGTCTAGAGCTCTGATCTTTCCTGGTGGTTTTTCATGTAAGTACTAAACCAGGTCCAGCCCTGATTAGCTCCTTTAGATTAGCTACTGGTGGCTAGGATGTAATCTAAGCAAATACCCTATCTTGTCCAATGCCAATTACACAGTTTGATAACAGAGTTTCATATTCAAGATCATACACGCTTTGAGGAAACTGATTTCAGTCTTCATTAAGTATGAGATTATCAAGAGTGTCACTGCAGAAGGACAAGCAAAAATGCAAGACTTCAGAGGCATGGGTAGTCAATATCACTTTTTTATCTCTTGAAGCAAAAGGAGTCACTATATTTTCTACTGGTCTAACAACCTATTTCTTTTCTTTTTTATTAGCAACTTCATTTATTCACCCATCTGAAACAATGTTTTATGGACATTTCCTACAATTGCCAAATATTCATTTATACACAACAAGCTTTGCTGTATACTGAAATAACAATACAAAGGAAGTCTCTATTTATCTCTCTAAATGTTATTTACATTCCCCCCAAAATATGATAGCATGAAAAGTTTTAAGGTGGGGGGAAGGTGGTATTCTTAGAGGGAAATGCTGGGACTTAGGTCGTATTGTCTGATATCCTGAAGCTGTCCACAAACAAAAATTCTAGCAAATATTTATTTCTCAGCATGTCTCATTTATCTTCAACTCATATGTTTATGTTTATCATATGCACCTGCCAACACTATGCAATTAAGCACTGGTGATTCAGCTTGCAAGGCCTATTAAGTCTATTTCATTCCAAGTGGAGACTCTTCCCCTTTCTGGAACCCCATTCCTCAGTGTGAATCTAATCTAATGATGGAGGATGAAGCAAAGCAATGGCTCTTCCTCCACCCAAGTGCTTCAGTGCCAAAGGACTACATTCTGTGGAGGGGCTATGGTCCCACTCATTAATCCAATTAGCCTCTTAGAAAGGGTGAGAGATACAATCTGTCCTTCAGACTAGAGATATGACAAATTACATTTGTTTTAACTTTCAGAATGAAAATCATAATAGGGAGAGGAAATAAAATATTTCCTCCAGTTCTTGTGGTTCATGGTTACTCGCAATTGTTTTTACTCTTTGCTGTTATTTAACATTTTAGGATATTTTATCTTTCCTATAATGATTCCAGCAAATAACAATACAGGAATGCATCATGATCCAAGGTAGTTAATCCAGTTTGGCAATATGACAACAGGGACTGGAAACAAAACCAGTTTTCATCCAGTTATTCTGAATGGGAAATACTTTTGTTCATTATGGTATCATCTTTGAAAACATAGAGAGGTATAACAAAAACATTCAAATGAATCTCCCATTTCAGCTGAAGGATCAAATATATAAAATTGTGTACTAACTTGATCAAAGAGGAGTCGAAGCTGCCGTTCAGATTCACCAACCCATTTGCTAAGACAGTCTGCTCCTTTTCTCATAAAGAAGGCAACTTTTCTGTCCCCATGGGTGCATTCATTGGCCAGAGCTCTAGCCACCAAGGTTTTACCTGTTCCAGGAGGACCATAAAACAAACAGCCCCTGAAGACAAATGGACAGATACAGATATCACTATTTCTTTGTTTCTTTATAAACAGCCCAGTATTTGCTACCCACGTAAGGAAACAAGAGCTCGGTGACCTGTTTTGGATATCTAGTAAAATGGAAGGTATTGCTAATTTAAAAAATGAAGGGGAAAAGTAGAAAATATTTACAAGTAGTAAAGTTATTATTTTTAATCTACATTATTTTTTTCTATTTTAACAAAAATGTAAGCCATTCACTTTTTTTTAATACACTAGGCCAATTTATTGTTGCATATAATCTGGGCCAATGCTGGGCCAATTTATTGTTGCATAGATCAAAATGAACATCAGAGATGTATGCGACCCTGAGTTCAATGTCAATTGGGCAGCTATATAAATCAAACAATAATAAATATTCTAACAGCACTGTAAACAAATGGGTTATAACACCAGCTGGGTTATAACAAAATAAGAATCTCTCAAGCTCCCTGCTCTCATGCAAATGTACCCAACATGAGTTTTGCTAAAATAGGGTAAGGAGAAAAGAAACCAGTGATGAGCCTAGGGACAAAAACTAGTCTTTGTTTTATTAGGAAAATGCCGTGCTTAGCTATCTCATATAGTTCATACAGTATACGCCATCAAACTTTTACAGTGAGGATTTTTGCCATCTTCTAATTTCTCTGACAGCTCTGCACAACCATTTTCGTCTTTACTGGCATCCATTCATCTTTAAAAATTCAATAGCTCCTTTCATAACTCGGGGAACCCACAATGCTATTCTGCTTCTACATTACATTTAAAAATTCAGCTGCCTTTTTTCATGATGATCTTGTGATACATACCCAAGAAACCGAATCTAAATTCTGCATTCCTAGGCTATGTGGGTATGAATGTGTTGGTGAGGCCTTACACATATCTGAGAACTTGCACACATCTAGCAAGCCTTTTAAAAGTTCCACATTCTTCAAAATATTCTTGAAATCAAAAGTTTCATTTTAAAAGGTAATTCTGAATAAACAAACTCAGTTGCATCGTTCTTTGAGCAGGATAGATCAATATTGATTTATTCCGTACTTTATGGTATTACTGAGCTATTAAGTTTGTTGAACTGTTCCACAGAAGTGGAACATGGTCTTCCCCTGACCACCCTATATTCCTTACATTTCTCACACTTCTAGATTGGCAACTTTAAGGGAAGTTATACAATACAAAATTGTTGGAGATGTGAAATCCCTTTTCTGCAAAAAAGAATTTACAGCAGTACGTGTCATCAAATGTCTCATGAATGTATTTTGACTGGATCCATTCTCTTCTTCTCTCAGCAATCTTCAATTCCAGCAACTTTCCCAGAATTACTCATGTTTCCAAAGATTTGGAGGCATACAGGGGCATGGGGCAGGGGGATCTGATCTAGGAGTGGCTTTTATGCTGCTTAGGTCAAACAACTGAATCCAAGTGCAGCTAGCAAAGCCAGGAGTGTCCCTCCCCCCCCCCCGCAAGAGCCCCTCAGATGGTTTCCACCATGTTGTAATTTTTAATCTGACAAAAAATAAGCTCTTAAAATTATTAAATATGGGAAATAATAATATTGGCCCTTGGGGCTTATTTTAATTAAATTAAATGAAACTAATTCAGATGTGGCTTTTGTCCACTTCTTTGTTAAGCCATTCCTTAAAATAGCCCTTTATCCAACAAAGTTTGTGCACTTTGGTAGATTAACTCAAGTATAAATATTACATATGAATAAAGCCTACCTTGGTGGTTGAATTTTGAATTTTTCAAATATTTCAGGATACAGAAGAGGAAATATAACCATTTCCTTAAGTGCATGAATATGATTGCTCAGCCCACCTATACTATCAAAACGCACCTAAAGGGGAGATAAAAAGCAATAAAATAAATTAACATTTGGAAGTGTAACTCAATTTATCATTTGCCCAGTTTAGGTAGAAGATCCATCAATGTATTTCAAAATCCCAATAAGAGAAATATTGTCCAAAATGATCTACTTTTAATCTAAGCAAAGTAGTCATAAACATTTAATTGTTTAAGATTTAATTTTACAAAGCAGCTTAAAGAAAGTCATTATTTTCCTCTTAGCACAGGCAGGTAACTCTAAACAAAGAGATGAAGCACACCGATTTGTCAAGAGTCATTGGATCCACATCAGCCAAGCTTGCACCAACTTTCACCCGTTCACGTAGGATTCCACTAGCCAAATCTTCTGCTCTGAAATTCATTGGCAGACATCTATGACATATTAAAAAAAACAACACATACATTTCATGCTGAATAAAGATGTATGTATGCACAGAACAGAAGCGTGACTTCTCATGTATATCATTTTGTTCCACAAATAGCAGCGAGAACTTTAGTCATTAGAGAAAAAAATGTATCTATGGTATTCAAGAAGACATGATGGACAAATAACACCCCCCACTCCAAAGTAAAAATATTCAAATAGTGCATCAGAATAAATAGAGTTGCATCTGGAATTACATTCACCAGAATTCTGCTAACAGTGGAGGAAGGAAGGAGGCAGTAAATTTTAAAGACAATAGGGATGGGCACAGTCTATAGCCCACGTGAAGCCTACTGGCTTCTTATTCTTCTTCACAAAGACTTCAGACTCTTATTAGCAATCCCACACCAAAGAAAAAAACAAACCCCAGGGTAAAAATTCCAGTTGCATCCATTCTGATGACATCAGGTCATCAGTGTCTATGCCCCCTGTAACCTTCAGAAGAGTACAAAGACAATATTCAGTCCCCAGCCTAAAAATGTTGCCATTCCTTCCTTTGCAGCCCTATATCCCCTGAAGAGTTTTCCAAATGGGTGGTTGATTCTCCAGAATAGCATTGGAGGTATTCTGGTCAATGATGATAATAAAGATGTTCTGCTCTGTTCTGGCACAGAAGATACCAATGAGGACTAAAGAAAAGCAATAAGCAAGCAAAAACAAAGCCTCACTCCTTGCCTCCACTAAATCTGGGTGTTCTCTGCAAATTTCTATTCACAGATGGGCAAGTTTGAAGAAATCCCATAACATGTTTTACATGTATAAAGTTCCATGCCCCATAACAGCACCTTTAATTAAATTAAAACAATTTCACATGGTTGGCAACCTTCATGAGGCAAGCACATGGAATCAAGCCATTTTTTTTTCTAGGCTAAATGATGACAGAGGAATTGTTACCGGTTTCTTGCTCTTGCCATGCTTTTAGATTTTCTTCTTTCAAAACGTTCTTCATCTGAAGAGGTTGTATCACTACTATGAATGGCATGTTTCTTTCTCCTGCAGAAGCAATGAAAACATTTCACTGAAGACTAGCGTGCACGGAGTTGTGCTCAGTGAGTGCTAACAAATTAAAACAGGTAATTTAAAGGTTACAATATCTTCAGTTTCATAACTAGTATATAGCATGCTTCTCTTGTCTTCATCATTTGAGCTGGTTCAGATATCACAATAAACTAGTTTGTCAGAAAAGCAACAAGACATAGCAATCCTTGGCCTTCCATATGCACACAAACTGTATATGTAGTGCAAAGGGGAAACTGTGGTTTAATCTACAAAAGAGGATCAAGGTTTCAAGTTTTGGTTTTAAAACAGAGATTAAACCACCATTTCTAAGTTGAAATATAATGGAAAAAATGAACCCTGAAAGTAATGCAGAGGAAATACAGTAGGTTATTCTTTATTAGACACAGAAACAAGCATCATTGCATTCCTTCCTCATCAAGCTTCAATGCAAGACTTAATTTATTAGGCCAACATGACCTCTGAACTAAGCCTGTTTTCAAAAAAGCTAAAAACAATTTGATGCATTTATGTTTTATACACAAAATGTAAAAGACTGACCAAAAAAAATGGGCAAAACCTTTCAGAGATGGTTTATAAAGCATCACTTCAGCAAAATTTCTGGCAGGAATGTCTTCTGGTACACCAGACTACAACACTGGTTTAGAGGGGTGATTTGCAAAGTATTCCTCTGAATGGTTTTATGCAGCCCTTCTCTTTTATTTTATAGCTATAAATCACTTTAACAAATAATAGTTGCTGCTAACAGAGGAAGGATGCACTGGCCTAGTTTTTGTATATATTTACCCAGCATATTGTTCAAGAAAGTCCAACATGGTAGCATAATGGAAAGAGAAAATATCCTAATGAATTATTTACCTGATATGGCTTCTTCTTGCAGGAGATCTATGAATGTCAAATAATGTGTTTTCCCTTTTCTTCTGGTGAGCTGGAACTAGATAAGATAAATCAATTTGACATGTGAACTTTTTTTACAGATCTGTATAAACATCTAGTTCCTTACTGTAAGGCATATTAATACTTTTCATAAATTAGAAATGTATATTTCTGCATCCTCTCTTCTCCAAATTTGCTTTCTCAAATTCTGTTTTTATGTAAGACAAATCTTCCTAGTCGCAATTGGATTTTAATGAAAAATATTAAATTCTAGCTTTAGGACACCTTTGACTAAACATCTGTAGCATAATAAAGATAAAAGATATTAGACAGCAGACTCCATATTACTGACTTACAAAAGAATTATTTAAAAACAGTAATGCGTAATTCTATGTTTTTCACTATGGCCTAGTATGATGTCTTGATTTAGCATTACAAACCCAAACAGAAAGGTAAAAAGCCAGGTTCAAATACTTCCCAACTCTCCTCCCCAACATGATCAAGAAGAGAAATGCAAACCAAAAAAGTAGGTTAGTTTAGAAGTTTGCATGTAACAATAAGCTAACACTCAGGAATTGTAATATTAAACAAATTCTGTACTGCTAAGCAATTTACCAAAACAATCATGGAGTACAGTTTATTTGAAATAATTCCAGGTGAGCAAAAAATAGCAAAGTAGAAACTTGCTAAATTGAAACTATTCTGATTTATTCTTCCTTCTATGAGAAAGGTAGGAAAACAGGAGGGAATGTGCGAGCATTAAGTCTTGCATGGGTTCATACTAAATACTTTGCACACAATCCTAAAATTGTGGTTTCATTTTTTTATAGTAATTATATTAAACATTACAATTAAAAAGATACAAACTAATACAAACTAAAAAAAAAGAAAAAAGAAAAAAATAGAAAGTACAGAAAAGAAAAAAAAGAAGAAAAATAAAGAAAGAAAAAATAAGAATACAGTAAAGAAAAGAAATATGTAAAGAAATGAATTCTCCCTTCATCACAAGTATAAACAATTTTAGTAACTTATCATCTTCTCTTAAAATGCAACAAATGATCTTTTCTTCCCATATCCCATCTCTTATCTATAAATAAATCCTTAAAGCCTCGTCATTCAGTCCTGATCAGCAAAAGTCCATTACCAGGGATAACATATCTTATTTTAACCTTGATCAAATTAACCAATTTTATATTCCTTTTACTTTTAACAAACCTGATCTTTAGTCCCTTCAAATAATGTCTTAGAACTTGATTTCTTTTCATTTTTTCTTTGTCCTTTCTCACAAAATTCTTCAAAACTTTTGTCAATTTGGTAAATCCAATATAGGAAAGTTATCCTATATTGGTCACTCTTTTGGTTTGTTATTTGTATATTCCCTTTAATTATTAAGAAATCAGCCGATTTCATTTGTATATCCAGTGTAGCATCTTTTTCCATACCATTGTTGTAGCCTGTAATTTTTAAATCCACTTTCAGATCAGTCGCAGTCCTGTCTGGTAAAATTTGTTCCTCTTCCATAACATCTTTTAAAGACAGTCTATCTATAACACTCTTAAAATTAACTTCTGGGTCCAATGCTCACAAATACCTTTCAATACATCCAATGTTAAAGTATTTTGCTCCATTCTGTATTAGTAAGTCAAATTTAAGAGTTCTTCTCCTTTAATTATAATCTTTAGTTCCTTCTGGTTCCCTCTAGTCTCCAGCCTTCAAAGTCCCATCCTATTATTTTTTTCTTGTTAAGAATTCAAAACAACAGCATTTTCCCATAGGAAGGATTCTTATAATTAATTTCAAATTTTTATTTCAAATCCATCTGGACCCTTAGTCCATTTTCAACTTTCAAAAATCAATGTTCTAGTCACCCTTTTGCTGTTTACTAAAAAAAAAAATTTTTTTTAAGTCCTTAAACTTGTATTTAAAACGTCTTTCGCTAAGGTTTGAAGGAAACTCACCCAGTGTTTTCAGCCTTGTCGATCCAAAGGTTTCTAGTAGCTGAAAAGCAGTTAACAAGCAATTCCCGAAAGTGATTAGAAACAAAAGTATGAGAACTTTGTGTCCATAAAGGCACCGACCATGGTTTGAGTGAATATGGCTATTCCCTCGTCTCCCAGAGCATTAAACCTGCCGGAGACCAGTGTCTTGTGGTCTCCTCGTGAGGAGCAACTGTCTGGAGTATTTGTGGGTGATCTAAAGTCCTCCCCTTGTCCAGAGAAGAATTACAAAGAGCTGGTCTATTTGCAGGCTCTTCATTCTGCCATGGTCATTGGCTCCGGTTTTAGCCATTTCTTCTCTGGAAGCCCAAAAATCATAGTTTCATATTCTAAGTGAGTTATCCAGTGAGTGGACAGAGATCTTAGAGGCATTTCTAATTTCATCAAGCCTAAAAGGTGGAGACCGTGGAAGAGTTATTTATTTATTTACTTATTTATTTCATTTATATCCTGCCACAATCAAACAACTCTTGGTGGTCATGCAAATACAACCACAAACAGGACTGTACCTACTTTTTTCAATAAGTAAATCAAAGAACGGAAAATACAGGACAAGTAAAATGCTACCTTAAGTACCTTCTCAAAACAGTAACAACACAAGCTATCAAGTCTTATAGAACTCTCCCTTTATGCTAT